CATTATATTGAGACGGAGGGAGGTGCCAGAACTGTCTGCAGCTGATAGAATGTGCGCTGTAGCACGATACAACGATATTTCTTCAAAAGCAGATCGTGGAGACATTTTAATCGTCCAAGATCAAAAATCGTCATATCGCACACCCCTAACTACCAAGTATAATCAATCTCACACACATAAACAAGCACAAGAAATCACTTCACACTATTAAGCGGCTGTGTTATGAACATGCAAAACTGTATCGCACGCGTGCTACAGTGGTAAATTTATTCATCGCACAGACCAGTTTTTTCGTAGCACGTGCGACATATATGTCGCACTGTACAGCCCTGCCTTTAGGGGTCCTGCCCCAGTAACAAGTTGTTGTACCCCTAAAGGTACAATTTTGGCACATTTGTTTCTGAGAGTGTAACACCCATTTTGTGACCTCAAGTAGAACAAGTTCCTGAATTAACTGCTTTGTTGACCCTTCAAAAACATTCATTCCTACCAAATCAGAGTTTAGATTTAGTTTAAGGGTTTGGGACTTTCCATTCTGATCAACCAATCATTTCCATCTGATTTTAGGGGAAGATAGTTTGACACATTATATGGTACTAATATGTACACTTTAAGTACAAATATGTACCTTTAAAGTACTAAAATGCACCCTTTAAGGGGTAAATAAGGTAGAAAGTAAGGATCCTTCCCCAATGACAAATTATTGTACCAAACCAAATCAGAGTTTAGGTTCCGTTTAATGGTTTGGGACCTTCCATTCTGATCATTTTCATTTGATTTTAGGAGAAGATAGTTTGACACACTCTCAGAAAAAAAGGTACAAAAGTTGTCACTAGGGCAGTGCCTTTTCAAAAAGAACTATTATGTACCATTTAGGTACAAATATGTACTAAAATGCACCCTTTCAGTGGTAAGTAAGGTCCCAGTGACAGCTTTTGTACCTTTTTTTCTGAGAGTGCAGGACTATTGTTCCAGCACCAGCAAAAGATGTTGATACAGGAACACGTCCTAGTTGGCAAAATCACAGTCAGACAATGGTTTACGTGGGTGCTTCGGCTCACTGTATAAGCGTCTCCAATCAGAATCGCAGCCTGCGCTTTCTGTTCTGGTACAGATGCCAAATAGCATTTCTGTCTCACTGTAAAAGGATGAATAGACAATATATTGATTTTCCCACCTAATGTGGGGTTGAGGGGATGTGAAGCTTGAGCGAACAAGTCATGACTATCGATTTGCTGCTTCCCTTCATTACATGAGATGTATGAATTCATGAAAGTCAGACAAAATTGATGAGGAACGAACAAAAAAGCTGTGTTTTGAAGATAACCGATGAGCATAAATGTTGCCCCAGGCTTAGAGGAAGAGAACAGCAGCATATGAAAGAGGAAAAGGGAGAGAGAAACAAGAGGAAAGAGTAGGAGAACCAGATGAGAAGAGTGCTGAGAGTAGGACGAGGGTTGCAGAGGCGTTTGTGTACTGTGCGGCAGCGCAGCAGGAAGTGTAGACACCTGCAGAACTACAGGGCACGGAGAGAGCTGCGCCGTGGGCCGCACTGTGTGGGAGAGGCTGTTTGCACACAGAGAGTCAGTCAGCCACCCTACGCTCCCTCAGCGCTTCAGCTCTGTTAGCCCTCACTATCCAGAGAGCTTCCATTCTCATTAGGAAACCTCAGCTGAATAAATAGGGTTTCAAACATTATGCCAAAGCCAAAAAAAGAGAGTGGGGTTTTATGAAGCCATAATAGCCCTAATGGCTCTTAACGGGGCCGAAACTGAGAAGTCAAAACATTAAAGGCAAATTGAAAAGTTCTTTGGCAGCTGCAATTATCGGTTTCAAAGGGTCAAAAAGCACTACTTTACAAACAAAGAATATCATTTTCTGTCACTAGGTATACTTTAAAACCAAAACACACTGAGTGTAAACTCTGGTGAGTAGTGCCTGACAATCTTTTTTTTTAAATGGAAAACGAAAAACATCACTCCTTACCTTATCATCTAACTTCTTGGCACAGAAGGAAAGCTCCAAATAGCCATTGTTCCCAGAAATCTCTTCTGCGTGAATCTTGGGAAATAAGATAGAGATTAGCTGAGACAAAGCTAACATACTGTTATTATGTGTACTCTATGTGGAATCTAACTATCTATCTATCTATCTACATATCTATCTATCTATCTATCTATCCATCCATCCATCTGTCTATCTGTTTGTCCATCCATCCATCTTTCCATTCATCCATCCATCAATCCATCCTCCTGCCCAGCCTATCCATCCCATCCATCCATCCATCCATCTGTTCAACCATTCATCTGTCCAGCCCAGACCATCCATCCGTCCATCCATCTAGCTCTCCGTCCATCCTGTCCATCCATCCATCCATCCAGCTCTCCGTCCATCCTGTCCATCCATCCACCCATCCCATTCGCCCATCAGCCCAACCCAGCCAATCCATCCATCCGTCTGTCCATTCATCCAATTACACATCCCATCCATCCATCCATCCATCCAAATCAGTCCTTCTGCCCAGCCTAGTCAATCCAGCCACCATTCGTCTGTCTATCCGTCCATCCATTCATCCATCCACCCATACCATTAATCAATCTGTATGTCCATTCATCCATCCATCTGTCCACCCAGTCCAGCCTATCCATCCATCTGTCCATCAGTTAATCTATCCATCCATCCCATCCATCTATCTGTTCATCAGTTTATCTGTCCAGCCCATATCCTCCATCTGTCTGTCCCTCCACCCACCCGGTCCATCCATTCATCTATCCATCTGTTCATCCATATGCCCATCCCATTCATCCATCCATTCATTCATCTGTCATCCATCCATTTTTCCAACCAACTATCCACTGTCCATTCATTCAATTAAAAAAGATAAGTAAAAATTGAAGAGAAACTCGATCAGTCTTGAGTGCAAATGTTCTAAATTACTAACTGTAATTGCTGTTTCTGGAAACATTTTAGTATGTAATTTAATGTGAACAACACTGATTAAGGGAGCTATTTATGGAGTTGTCTTTGACCTCTACTAGTTTGTTAAGAGCTAGTTTGACCTCTACTAGTTTGTTAAGGGCGGTTAAGTCATCCCATTTTGTCTCACCTCAGATCAAAATGTGTTTTCGTCAGCATTAGAAATCTACAACCAGAGTGTAATACAATGAGGGGGTCCAGCAAAAACAGTCCCTGCTGTAGGTGTTTCAACATGAAAAGGCCATTAGTCTGCAGTGTGGTCAGGAAAAACTTTGTTAAAACTGATGAGAAAGCAGAGAATCAACACCTTTGATAAGGATGTGGTATTACGTTTTGTCTTACGGATTAACCTTGTCTGCCGGCAATAGAAACATGCAAAAATAACTTTGGGCATCACTTTTTTAATGTACTTTTTTGTGTGTGTGTTTGGCTTGTTTGAATTGAGTTGAACTAGCTGTGATATTGTAACTGAAATACTATTTTCCCATACTGAAACTGATAGTCTACATTATTTTACACCATATTAGCAGATATTGTAAGAATATCCAGAGTCTGATTGGTGTCATATGATATGAGCCCAGAAAACAGCAGAATTTAAGTTAGAGGTCAAACCGCCTGCACTGCAACCCAAACTACACAGAGTTATATTAAAAGTCCTTTACACGGGTTAGACCTTATTCCTGAAACCTGATGACTTTTTAATGCACCAGTGTTAGAGATTCGCCATTATCTATCTCTCAGGCATCACACGAACTAGCGGTTTCACTCAACTGTATCAAGAAATATTTTAAAGTGGCATTTCATTCCAGAAGTAATAGAAAAAAAATCACTCATTTTGTAATGTGCAGTCATCCTCTGAGTTTAGTGATGAGCGACGTGGGCATGATTTGGCATTTAGTTGGCACTTTAAAAAATGTGGGTGGACCTATAGATGAATGAATATCACTTCAGAGTGGCATCTCATAATGCAAAAAAATGTGCATTGTAAAGGGGTGGGTATAGATGCCAAAAACCCAGCTGTAGTTAGGCCCTTCACATTATAACTATAAAAGTATCATGATCAGGGATGGGCAGTATTTCAGATACATGTATTTAAAATACGTATTTGAAATACAAAATACTATTTTGTATTTTGTATTTGAAAGCCTTCGGCAAAAATCAAATGTAATTTGTATTTAAATACATTTAAGATTAGTATTTTTGTATTTTCAAAATACATAAAATACTTTGTGCCAGTCAACCTCTTTATCAGGGTGCTGATTTAGTTCAGACACACCCCCTCCCCCAACCCCAACATTCATCACGTGAGCTGCAGCTGTACAACTCCATTCAGTATTGGGTGAGTGACTTTTCTGGAATAAGATAAGGTGAGGATGTCATGGTCAATTGTACATGTTGATTAAAGTTAAAATAGTGCATCATTCAGATTTGCCGTCAGTTAACATGAAAGAATAAAAGAGCACTGACAAGGGGAAAAATAGCATTAGCCAATCAGTTTTAATAGTTAATCGGTTGTTGTGTTTTATCAACTAGCTTGTACAACTGCCACAAATACGATTAGAGGATGACTGCTGCTGTCTATTCTCGTCCTCGTTCAGGTAGAGGCGTCTGGCATCTCAAACGAACTTACCGAATACCGATCGGCAAGATTTGCCGCTTGAAGTCGAGGCAGGAGTTGAAAACGGAGCACTGCAGTCATTGATTCCCGCGACTCTCGCGCACTGTTTGCTGTCTTTATTGCAGTTAGATGAAGTTGGTTAGATATATTTCTCAAATAAACAAACGTTTTAGACATTTACATGTGGTAACAGAAAGCCTTTTCATTCAGTAATTTGCCACCACAATACTTGGTGTGGCTGCTGTATTTTGTAGTTTATTTTGATACACTTAAAATTAAGGTATTTGGTATTTTATTTTAAAATACATTTTGATGTATCTTTGCCCATCCCTGATCATGATAACTATAATAACTATAAACTTTTAATAATCATTCTAGTTGTATGTGAATAGGGAAATCCACAAATATAAAGGCCTAGATATACTCACAACAAAGTTCTTTTTCAATATTCACCTAAAGACAAAAGTCACATTGCATTCATTTAAATCGCACTTTATACAACAGGCTGCTTTAAAGCAAGCAGTTTTACAGTATTAAACAATGTCAGTGTCACTTTCAATTAGAATTAGAACTTCAGTTTCTACTATAAAGCAGCTCTGCAGTGTGTTCATGTTTTTGCTCGTGTCTGACCTCGCACTGGAGAAGATTTCCACGTCAAAGAGGATGGAGCCCCAGAACAATCGCCACAGATCAAAGGTGTTTACCAGAACTTTTTTGGAAAGTTCCCTTTTGGCAAGCTGTCTCCACCTCCCAAAACAAACTCCAAACAAACTTTGTTTTAGCCTGATTTTGTTTGAAATGACGTCATACCAGTTCAGTCTTCAATTTCGCTTGAAGTATGGCTTTCGCTTGAAGTATGATATTGTTGGAATCATTTTAAGAGAGACTGTTTTCTGCTGATGAATGATAAAGCATTGTCAGCCAATCAGAATCCACCCAATCAGTTTATACAGTTATTGTTATTGTTACCTTTATAGTTATCGTTCTTGCAGCAGTCCTTTACACCCTTGATACTAAAAGTGATTGATTTTGTCTAATTGAACACAGTGATTCTCATACACATGAATTTTTGTCAAAGACATTTCTGGTTATTGTCGAATGGTGAGTTGGCCTGGCAAACAGTGTCTGCTTTCATTTTGCAAATACACAGATTCATCCTCATCTGACTATCTGGGAGTGTGTCTCCAGAAAAGTGACTTAAACTGTCTTTTAGTTATTCTGTAAACAAAACCAAAACGCCTTTGTGGATGCTAAAATTAAGTGATGACAGATGAAACCTCTACCACAAGAGCTTTCAGTGAATGTGTAAATGTGTACAGCAGCAATGAAAAAATAATTATGTGTGTAGGTTTTTTTTTTTTTTTTCAACTCACAGTGATAGTGGATTTTCCAGCATATTTTCCATATTTCAGCAACAGAGGTTTCACCATCTTTTTTTGGGCCACTATCTATGGAAAAAATTAAAATGTTTAAAGGATTTTTGTTTAATAATGTTTAAAAACAAATAATAGTTCAAAAGCACTCATATGTTTCAAAATAAGCCAAGAAGTGGGCAAAAAAATATTTGTAAATATATGTAAATATATTTTCTATCAATATTTTTTTGGGAGTATATATATATATATATATATATATATATATATATTTTTCCATTTTTTTTCTTATGCTCTAAACAATGTAATGACATAATACTCAATTCACAAAACTTTTTTTTTTCTGGTAGTCAGGAGGACATGTATGTATGTATTAATGTACATTCACATATGTCATTTGAAGAAAAATGTGAACATAACACATCTGAATAAAAATAAGCAATAAATATATTTTACAATGTAAAAAAAACTATATAAAAATGTAAAAATATTAAATCATTGAAAGTCTAGTTTTGATCTCTAGCAAGATATTCTATCCACATTTGCATTTAGACTAAATGTTGGCTACTGTAAGATCGGAAATGTATTTTTTGCCCCTGAAATACATTTTGAAATATATTTTGGTATATGAATATAATACACACATAAAATATATTTCATTGGGCTTCACTGTTTACAACAGATATTTAGCATATAAAAATATATATTTTTGCCATTATTTTATTTTATTACTATTTTTTTTGCCATATGGCTGTTACTTAGGAGAGCATACTTTTGGTCACATGGTGTATTTTAGCAATATTACATAAAATGCACAGGAAAACATCACCTGTCCAAGCGTGCACTCCACACCACCCAGGAAGTCGTCGTCTCGCGTTCCAATACTGTGAGTTCCGTGAATGTCGTAGACTTCAAAACGCAGTTTCTGTACTTCCTCAAAGTAGTAGTCCAGCATTAAGACTTTGGCAAAGACCGGATTCAGGTTACTCTTGATCACCTCAGTGCGGTCCAGCTGAATTACAGAAAGAACAACAATTTAGTCAACAAGTGAAAATCTTCTGACTGGAAGCATCTGGCTTCACAGGCTGATCACAGACTGTACTGTTTATTCGTCTGTTTGTGCGCCGTCCCTGGATAAAGTCAAAGAAATGACGGCAGTGGGATGAAGGCCTCATGAGTCTGATTGTTGAGCGCTTCCACACATGCAGCTGCGATGATCATGGCCTTGCTCTCATACGAAAGACATTTGTTCTTGTTTCTCATTCATCAGCTGTCTCTCTCCTTACCTCCCCCTGCTTTGCTATTGTTCACTGGTGCATGTCAAAAACAAACAGAGCAAATACAATCATTTCTGAATTAAAACCTCACAGAGGCAATTAGCTGGAGGAGTTAATGCATCATTCTCCAGGATGTTGGAGATGCAATTAGTTTAGAGATGCAATCTGAAAATATAAGTATAAAAGCCATTGAAAGAGACAGTGCTTTACTTTCTAATGTACCAAAGCAAAGGCTGAACAAACAAAGAATGGAAGTTCATAAAAGAGGGAATCTTCAGTGAATGGGTGCCATCAGAATGAGAGTTCAAACAGCTGATAAAAACATCATAATCCATACGGCTCCAATCCATCAATTAACATCTTGTGAAGCGAAAATCTATGTCTGTAATAAACAAATTCATTAATAAGGCGTTTTAACTTTAAGCCAAAATACAAGTCCATAATCCACAATAACGCTTCCTCCAGTGAAAAAATCCATATGCTGTTGTCCTCTTACATCAGTATCCACCAACCTATTTGTTGAAAACAGTTTTGGACTGTTTCCACTTATAAACAATGCTTGATCTGTGCATATTTCTCTCCTGATTCAAACGAGACGATTTTTCCACTGGAGAAAACAATATTATAGATTATGGACTCGTAATTTAGCCAGAAGCAACATTTTGAAGCTAAACATACCTTAATGATGGATTTGTTTCTTACAAACATGCAGCTTTTCACTTCACAAGACATTAATTGATGGACTGGAATCGTGTGGATTAGTTGCAGATTACTGTGAATGTCATGTCTGTTTTGGTTCATTGTCATGTCATGTGGTTATGTGTTCTGGTTGTTCATTGGTTGTAATAGTCATGTGTTGCCCTCTTCTAAGAATTTAAGCCCTCATGTTTGCCATGTTAGTTTGTCATGTATTGTTCATGTAATCCACTGTTTGGTGAGTTTGTTCATGTTTTTGCCAAGCCAGATCTTGTTCACTGTGTTTCTGCTCACTTTTGGATTTTGTTAAACTGCACATGGGTTCTCATTCAACTTGCCTCCAGTGGACATTCATTACAGTGATGTTTTTATCAGCTGTTTGGACTCTCATTCTGACGGCACCCATTCACTACAGAAGACCCATTGGTGAGCAAGTGATGAAATGCTAAATTCCTCCAAATCTGCTCAGATGAACAAACAAACTCATCTACATCTTGGATGGCCTAAAAAAGTTAGATGGTTCATGTAAATAAACCGGTTCACATAAACTGATTGACTGAAGCCCCTGCAGAGAACCACTGAATTTTATCACTGTTTATTTACTGGGTTAAAATGTAGTTTTCTGTTTAAAATAAATACATTTAGTGTACATATATCCCAATAAAATCTATCTATCTATCTGTCTGTCTGTCTGTCTGTCTGTCTGTCTATCTATCTATCTATCTATCTATCTATATAAAGAGCTTCAAAGTTGCTTTTATTAGTAGCTTAGTGTAGCAGACTACTTTCCAGTTTATCAAAATATGTGGGAAACTTCAGTTTAGCATCCGAACAGTCTCTGGTGTATTTCAAAAAAGGTAATTTGTTACTGTCACACAAATGGGGAAAAATAACCATTTAAAATCAGCATGTGAGGTAATCGGTCATACTCGCACTAAATCAGACTAACAGTGTCAAACCTCTAATGTGTCTGCATAGCACATATCAAGCAAGGAATGACCCTCCTCCATCAGCCCGTGTTTGACTGAGTCTTTCTCAGCAATTACATACAGCCTCACATATAAAATATTCAGTCCTTCAATCTACAATGTATGTGCCCTTGAACTGAGGTGAACTCTCACATAGCGCAAGTGGTAGTAAATCAAACTAAAGGAGTTGGTGTGAGGTGAATTTCATCAAACTATTATGTCCATGTCATAATTCACCCCAGAAACAAGAGACAGAATAAGACATCCTGCATAACGAAAAGGACCATTAATATTTTGTGCATTGTGACATTTTCATGAGAATTATTATAATAAACACTTATTATTGCAATGCAAAATTCTTTTATACACACACACACATATATATATACAGTGGGTACGGAAAGTATTCAGACCCCCTTAAATTTTTCACTCTTCACATATACATATACATATATATGTATATGGAAACATGTGAATGGTCCTAATTAGTTTTGAATTTTTTTTATTAAGTTTCCTTATGAAAATATGATTTTTCTTTCTTTGACAAAAGACCTGGACATGTTTTATTTAGATTCCCACAGAGAGGATGTCTCGACTAGATTACTATAATACTGTGCTGGCCGAATGGTTTCTGAACCCCTATACAGCTAGTTCATACTGATATCACTGCAAACACCCGACTGCCTCCTGTGGCTCCTCCAATCACAGGGAAGCAGACCTCTTATCAATTCCAAGTACATCTGCTGCTAAAAAAACATTTTGTTACAGAACTCCCCAGTTACAGAATCAGACACGTTCCCAATACTGAAGTCTAGTTTGAAACTCTGTTTTTCAAGATTTGGCTGGGTCAGTTAAGGTACGCAGCCAAAACTGGATTGCGTACCTATCACAGAAAATATGAACTGAAATTATAATACCGTCAGTCTTCCAATTAAATTGTTTACTCAAGCTATCAGGTGAGGTGAGGCGGCAGGCTGCGACCTTTTGAGTGGATTTTTCATTTGAGCCTTTATCACTATCACCATATTATGCTTCTTTGCTAACAATTTTGACTGTTAAAAACACTGAATAAACAAATATGTGCCAAACTTTTCTTTCGTTGAACAATCCTTCAAATATGGAGAGTTCAAACCACGAGGAAGAGACTTTTAAGACTTACTGCCAACTTGAAGAAGAGCTGTAAAGAGGCTGTTAAATGAGCCGGAGTTGGTCTCTTTACCCCTTACAGTGGCAGCTTTAAGATGATTGAGTAGTGTAAGAGAAGCAGTGAGAGAAAGGAAGTGATGTATGTGGCCTGAGGGTGTTGTAGAGAGATTACATGGGAGGTTCATGAGGGTCTTAGAATATTATGCTATATTTACACATACTATGTAGCATTTACCTTGAGTGAGAGAGTAAGTGAAAGGGAGCGCAAAGAGAGATATGAGTAGGCTTAGCTCCCACACAATTTTAGCTCTTGATTTGCATGACAATGGCACTTCTCCATTGATAGGTTATGTATAAGCAGATAGTGGAACACCTAATGACTCAAAAACATCAGAGAAGCACTCGGAACAGCATAGAGACAAAAATCCACATGGTCAGAATTAGGGTCGGAAATTTAAAAAAAAAAAGTGTGTGCGCCAGTGTGTGGCCAGTTTTGTCCAGTGTGTGCGCTCACTGACTGAATTCTGCGCGCTTGCGAATTCTCTCAACATAAGCAACGAAATGTAGAAAAGATGGAATTAAGTGATTCATTTTGCAGCCATTTTGCAGCCTAAGCGCTAAACTACACGAACGTCATGAACTGGCACATTTGTCTGTATAGCCAAAATATGATTTGACGTTTCCCCAAACACAAAAAAAATTATAGAAATGTATTTTATTAATCAATGTTAATAATCAGTATTACAAAATCAAGCGCAAGACATTAATGATTTTTGTCATAATATTGCACCCCTACACTGTAAAGTTCCTGTTTTTTAAAAATATAATTTATATACAATTTTAAACAATTTGTTGTTATTGTTAACAGTTTAAAGTATTCTGATTGATCGAAGTAACTGGTTAAATGTAAATATTTGACATTAAAGACAACACAGATACAATTAATAAGGTAATTATAAATGCATGTAAAAAATGCCCCTGGAAATCAATACTGCCCCTTAATCAATATTGCCCCTTCCGACCCTGGTCAGAATTAGTTACTAATAGTTACAATGAATACATCTGAATATGCCAACCCAGTCTAACTGGAAAAATCTGCCTATATGGTGACGTTTCTGTAAAATGATATTACATTTTCTTGCACGTTTTGAGACACTTTCATCGTGAAATGTCCAGTAAGTGGTGCCAAAAGCAGGTTCAGTTTTATCAGAAAACAGATGAATGTGAATCTGCCAACATTTTGTTATGTTATTTGTTGTTGTACATATTGCAGTAGTTCAGAAATGAAATGTCTGGTGACTGGCGCTAAAAGTTTAATACTAATGTGCCACCTATACTAAACTAAATCTAACCAATAAAGTAAAAAAAAAAAGCAGAAGTGTCATAAAACATTTGCTAAAGCAACCATGCCATTTTAGCTTGCTTCTACAAGTCTTTGAACCGTTTTATCATGATTTGTGTTTCACTGGACAAGTGCAATGCTGTACCAGGTGAGCTACCGAGCAAGTTTACTAGATCAGAAAAGCCATTTATGGAGAATATTATGTGATGCAAATGTCAAATTATATTAGTTTAGAAATCATGCACTATAGTAAAAGTGTTTTGAGGTCGTAACAATGTGTTATGCAAGTAGCCACACAAAAATAAGTCTTTATTAATAGATAATCTGCCCCATAATTACAATTTGTGTGAAAAGGAATAAAAGTTTTTTGATGTTTTATTGCCACTAGTGTTCATTTCAGCTAGAAACTGTAGTGAATTGCATATATAGTTACGTTTTTTGTAAAAATGTAGATAAAGGGAAATTTTAATGTTAATGTTCAAATTTTTTGTGCGCATATGCTAGGTTGGAATATGCACACTTTGCCACTATATAGTAGGCAAAAAACAGTATTAGTGACAACAGTCTACTGAAGATTGCAACA